TATTTGGTTTCATTCCCAGAGTTAGTGGCTCTCGCTTTCAGAGATGAGTCCTGGATCTAGACCAGATTTGTTTATGCCCATCCACTTAATGCAATGGGGTTTTAAGTCTTTTTTTTCTTTTTGTACGAAATGATATGTGGTAACTAGTTTAGAATGCATGTGGTTCTTCAGATTGAAACTGAATTTAGGAAGTTGTTGTAGTGGTGTGAACTACACCGGTTAGGTCTGTGTAACATTTCAAACAGGTTGTAGTGCTGTGTAGAATGTGGAGTGTTTTCGTGAAAGTGCATCTATAATTAAGAATTGCCAGTAATATTCGCAATATAATTATTTTTTCTATGGGTCCTGTTAGTGTGTTCATCTTATGTTGTGAGGTTTCTGCTTACAATAGAAAATCTATCCTTTACCGTTGTAGAACATGGCTTCTCAAAACAGAACATCAGTAATGCCCTTATGTACAAATTTTGATGTGGGTAAAGGATACACCTAGTTTGGTTTCAACAAGAAACTGCTGAGTTCATCAAGTTTGCAAACTTACTGACAGAGTGAAGAGACTTTACAGTAAGGATTACCAAGAAAATGAACAAACAATTGGTGATAATCTTTTCTTGAGAATCTGGAAGATGAACAATTTCTCATTTTTAACAAAATTCTGAAAATGAAGTTGCTTAGGATTCTCAAAGTAGCAAATTACTGAGTCAATTCAGTTGAACTGACTTAAAATTTACTGAATGACCAGGGCTTGAAAATTTTTAAAGTCTCACTAGTGAGTCAAAAATTTCATCAGTCAGCATGACCGGACTATAGCCTTGCAATTTATGTTAACAAATTTAAACTAGGCACTTGCTCGCGTACAAACCCAAAAGAAATATACCCACAGACTTGGATTGCTTTATTACCTGCGTGCCTGTGGGGTCATGAAGCTTGTATTTTGAACGCCTTTTTTAAAAATGTCTCCAGCAAAAATAAAACTGAAAGCAAAAGCGCCCGGCCTCTTAAGGAGCCATGGTTCCCTCCCCCACCCCAGGATGTGTCCTCATTGGGTTGAAATTGGGAGCAGGAAATCTCCATATTCTCCAGCATGGGACTACTCTACATTCTCCTGCATAGCTATATGTCTATGTGCCACTCATACTCTCTTCTCGCGAGAAGAGAGCTGTTTTGCTTTTGCAATGGGAGTTGGGAGGGGGGAGGGGAGGACTGCAGGATCATTGAGAGAGAGAGATGGGTGGAGGGTAAGGATGCAGGCAGGGAGGGAAGGAGCTGTGGCTCGTCAATCAGTGTTTTTTCACTTGTCACAGACGAGTAGACGAGTGCATTTTTCAAGCCCTGTGAATGACCAAGAGATAAGTTGTTTCCTCTTACTACATCATATTCTACGACCATCTCTTAGGGTCCAGTGATTTTTTTGACAGTACTGTCACGTATATTGAAAAGATTTTTTTCTCATGGAAGCCATGAGTTACAAGCCTGAGGTGGGGGCATGGGCACGGGGTTGCCAACAAATTTGTTTCTGCTGCAATTGCCATCAAATTTTGGTGGCTTTTGTAGTGGATGTTTTATGGTTAGGTCTCTAAGGAAGAAGTCAGGAGAGGAAGTAGAAAGTAGTATAACATGTACAGTTCTGGTAGTATTGGCTTTGGAAGAAAATTGCCTGGGTTTTGCAAGGTTTTTTTCTTTTTGCAGTTTTACGGTTTGTCTTTTCTTTGTTTTGTTTTTGCAGCAGTATTCCCTTCCTTCCTTCCTTCCTTCCTTCCTTCCTTCCTTCTGCAGCAATATCAGCAGTGGAGGCAAATGGGTGGCTTCATGTTGTCCATCCCTTTTCCTGAACATGAAAATTAAATGACCTCTTGGCATTTCACCTATTACAAGTAGTTACTAGTGCACAGATAAATGTAATAGCTTGAGCAACTCATTTCAGCATCCTCAAGAAAAGCCAAAGAGGAGAGAGAATGGTACACAGTCTGTGAGTCATGTGAGAAAAACCTTCCCCTCAAACTAAAATAATCGATCACATATTACCTGGTTTGGTGAAGATATTTATTTATTTTATTTATTTATTTTATTTATATCCCACCTATCTAGTCACTTAAGACCACTCTAGGCAGCTTACAAGCATGATACAATATAATTAAAACAATTTTTAAAAGGGGACAAACTTTGGACAAGATGGAACAGACACTAGGAGAGAGGAAAAAAGAGGGAAAATCAGGAATTGGTTGAGGGGAAGGCCTACCGAAACATCAGTGTTTTTAATTGTTTTTTTTTTAAGATAAGCTATACACTGTTGTTTTTATGGTCTAGTAATATTTGACCTATATCCTGTTGCAGCTAGAGTAGACCAGTTGACTTTAATAGGATTTTTTACCATGCTACCATTTGTTCACTGGGTCTGTTCTCTTACGGGAATATCGAAAAGTTACTGGCCACTCAGTTAAAGCTGAGAGTAGTCTTGTGTTATATTGTTTCATTGTTGCTGTTCATATTGTTGTAAACTGGCCAGAGTGGCCTTGGCTGCCAGATGGGCGGTATAAAAATCAATCAATCAATCAATCAATCAAATAAATAAATAAATAAATAAAATTAGATACTAGTGCAGCAGTGTGTGGTGACTTTTCTATGGGTTTCCATAATAATGATGGCATAATCTCATTTGTCAAGTGTTACTAACTTTACCTAAATTAGAAAGTAACATTAGTAATTCTGCTGAAGGGAATGTCAGCAGCACTTTGAATAGTATGATTTCATTAAGACTGAGCCAGAGTCTTAATGTGCTGAGTTCCTCTAATTTGTGTGCAATATTCATTTGACTCAAAACATATTTCTGTCGGGTTTCAAAAGGACACAAGTTATTTTCTAACATGTCTTGTTAACCATTTACAGCTAGGCCAAAAAGCTGATCTGCTCACAGTATCATGTAGTACATCTTTGGTTTGTATACTATAAATTATGGTGTGTATTTATTTTATTTATTTATTCTATTTATACCCCACCTATCTGGTCATTGCGACCACTCTAGGCGGTATTTATACATTATTATAAATAATAATGTTTTAGGGATGCAGATGCTTACTGAATGAGTTGTTTGCAGTTTTACTTATCTTGCAGATCAATGTTGATTACAAAGGTCTTTCCATATTATTATTCAATATTGTATACTGAATGCCAGATACTGTGTAATTTGAAGCCTTCTTTTGAACAGAGCTGCCTTGCATCTTTTTGTTTCAGTGTCTAATTTTATGAATTGTTGAAGAAAAACTTGAAAATCATTAAGTTTCATTATTCCTGATAATTTTTAAAAATTTTATGTGCAGCACTCTTGTACTGATATTACACCAAGGAGAAATAATAATCTCTGGCCACTGTTGTGGGGCTGAAATATTTTGATGGATGTTTCTAATGATAAGAATATCTTTAAAAACAGAGACTACTTGTCTAGCTAAACTACTTTGGTATATTAATGGCAAACATTCTGTTGGTATTTGTGTATGTTTTGTGTAACTTGCTGCTGCTAATTGTGACTTAACTGATGAGATTCTAGAGCAGTGATGGCGAACCTATGGCACGCGTGCCACATCTGGCACGTGAAGCCCTTCTGGCACGCAAGTGAGTGGCCCACTCACCCACTCTTGTGGAAACAAACCTTTTGAAGTGGCTGCAGCTGGGATTCCCCCTTTTCTCTTCCAGTTCTGGGTCCTTTAACTTCCTGTCCGTCCCCATGATTCCCCCTGAAACTGCCACTTCCTGTTCTGGTCTTCCGGGCGGCACGACAGCCACTGGTTTCTTCCCCACCCCCTCATTTTGGGCTCTTGAGCCGAAAAAGGTTTGCCTCCACTGTTCTAGAGCATATTTCAGTTGCTCAATTGGGCATGTGACTAAGATGTGTTTTGGTAGATGGTATTTCTGTGGAAGAATTGTTGTTGGTGGGGTAGCTAGCAATATAATGAAAGCAGTTATGAATAATAACAGTAATGTGATATTGATTCAAGTTCAGCCCTTTCCAGAGGTTTCCAGGTACAAAGTATTCAGAAGTGATTTATACGTTCCTCATTCTCTGTTTGCTTTGGGACCACACAGCTTGACAAAAGCTGCTTAGACTGGTTCTGCTTTTGGCTGTCACAGTACGGAATTGAATATTGACTTCTGCTGCTGCAGCCTGCAGATTTGTTTAATCAGCAAGCAGTTACAACCAATGGTTATAGTCAGTTGTTAGTCCCAGTTATGTTAGATTCACTGGATGAGTGTTATGTCAATACTCACTTAAGCCCCACTAATTCAGTGGGTCTACTGTAATTGCAACTAATGATTAGCTTTTTTAGTTCTAACACTTTTACTATGGCTACAACTCTATGCAAACTTTCCATTAAACTCAAGCACATTACATCTGAACAGGCTTATAATTTTGTTGTACAGCTTAAATAAAATAGTAGAACAGAGATGCTGGATTAAAATCACGTGTTACTAAAAAGGCATATAAAGTTAAAATAAATAAATAAATAAATACAGTATAACTTTGGGACCTAGGTAATGCTAGAACTTTCTGGAGAGATGTCTACAAATGACACCACAAATAAAGATTCCCTCTGATTGCCACCTGGTAGAGTCATGCAGATAATGCCAAAGATAGGTTATCTGGGCAGGTGTTCTTTAAAGCTTAATTTTTTCTTGATATTTCTTCAGTTTGTTTGCAAAATGTAACATTTTGGATGACTTCTGTCACAAGTTCACTGTAATTAATGCTATTGTTAATAATTGCTCTTGTATAGGTGTTTGCTGCAATTAGAAGTATTGCTTTGATTACCCATCAAAGAGAGAAAATAATTTAATTGATGCTGAAGAAGGCGTTATGAGCTTCACAGTGAAGCAAAGCTAAGATTGATAATTTTGAAGTATCCTTCTGATCATGATGGGTGTTTCGTCAGGTTTTTCCCCCCTAAATTACATATGTTTGCTAATGTATATCTACAAATATAATTATTTTTTCTCTTTTGCTTATTCAGATGAGCAGTACTGGAACTAGCCCAATGTCAGGTGGTCCATCAAGCAGTGGAAGAGGGAGTGGGAAGTCAACAAACTTTACTCTTGAACTGCAGAGTATGATGTAAGTGTAATTCAGTTTTCCTATTTTATGATGTGCATAAGGTACAGAACTTGGAAAAAGTATCAGTAGAGGAAAGAGAGACTTATTTGCTGCATGTTAATGATTTAGTGTGGAAAAAGTAATCTGGAAGTGGTTTTTGAGAGGTATATATATTTTAGCATGGATTCTTCTTGATGGAATTGGAAATGCATGCAGTTGGAATAAACATACTGATAAATACCTAAAATGCTAATTTTATTTATTGTTTTTGCTATACATTTCATGAACTTGAGCTACTATTCCTAGAATCAGAAGAAATGATTGTTGGTTAAATTTACTTATTTTCTGCATAGTAGGCTTGAAGTTGCCTTCTTGTTCTTATGCAAAATGATATGCTATGATAAAGTAGTGTGGTTTGTGATCGAATTAGCATGTGTAGACCATTTGGTACTGATTATTCGTGCTCTTGACAATAAGAATAATCATTATTAAGAACAGTGATGTATTAATAATGACATAGGAATCTATTTTTACTTTGTGATGAGACTAGAAGCTTTTCTCTGTGTTTTGAAATATCTAGATTTTCTTAAAGCGGTAGGATTCATCTTTGAAAATGTCATAATTTGGAGGATTCTGTATTTAAATCTTGATTAGTTGCCTTCTTCAATGGGCCAGGCTACAAATCTTGATTTGATAGAAGGTAGCCTATTAATCAGAGAGTTTAACCTGCCAGCACATGCCATATTCTCTTTTATATACGTCCAAGATGCATTGATCAGCAGAAAGTTAGAACTCAAGTTAATGAGTTCTTTCTCCATGGATCATTATTTCTGATTTATCAAGTAATTTAAGGAGAATTTTCAACCAAAAAATTTTACCTCTTGCTAAGGCATAGGTTGATACATTTTTGCATAGCATTAGGTCAGAATTAGTTTGATACTACCGAGCTCCTCCGTAATGTGGATTCGCATGTTCCTGTATAGGTTACTGTTGCCAGAAAAGGTGCAGGTTAGTTGTGCATTCTGATTTCTTTTAGGAATGAGATAATATGTCTAAAACTCTTAGTTCATCCCTCACAAGAGAATTCTACATCTTTTTTTAAAAAAATCTTGTCTAATGTGTTTGTGTAACCCCAAATAATAGCATTGGCATTTTAATAAATGGTCCAGGTTGTTTTGTGTTGTTAAATCAATGTGATGTAATGGCATACATTTGGGAGGTGAACTGCCTCAAGCTAAGAAAATGCCATTGATCTTACCTGTTGTGTACTGAGTTGTGTGACTTAGTCATTATGCATCCTTCAATCTCAAAAGACTATGGTAACGTGCTCTGTATGGAGGACTTGGAACAGCGTCTAGTGTGGCTGAGAAGGCCAATTCGAGAGTGACAATCCCTTCCACACCGAAGAGGCCCTAAACGGCTTAGGGCCTCGATACCTGGCGGAACGCCTACTCCCACCAAGATCTACCCGTGTCACTCGTGAGAGCCAGGAGGTGAGGCTGAGGAGCCTAACGCCGAGGGAGGCCCGGAAGGAAAAGACAAGAAATCGGGCCTTCTCGGCGGTGGTTCCTCGCCTCTGGAACAACCTACCTCCTGAGATTCGTGTGGCTCCCTCGCTGGGTACCTTTAAAAATCAACTTAAAACATGGATGTTTCGGCAGGCGTTCCCTCGAGTCAATCCCTGATG